AGACAAATGCCTTATATCTTAACCATCAAAAGCCTAAATGAGGAAAAGATTTTCGATAGTTTAATATACTTTTTTTTTTCTTATAATGAAAATTTTAAGCTTTTATTATAAGAAAATATAATTTTTTTTCATTTATTCATTGACAATTATCTGACAATATAAAGCTACAATACATTTAAAATCATTATCAATTTCCTAAAAAAATTTTTGAATTGCAAATGTGATTTATTTGAACAAGACTAATTTACAATGTTTTGAATATCTATCATTACATGTTCATATTTTAAATGTTGAAGCAAGTTAAATAAATAATGCAACAATATGAAAAAATTTTGAGAACAACTTTCTTTTAAAAAAATATAGTGAAGACTCATTAAAAAATGTATAACAGAATAAACATTTGATGGAATGTAGTAATTTATTCAAGTAATTAGCTATCAACTACAAAGACAAGTTATCCCCAGCTCAGAGGGCATTATTGGATATTTAATATAATTTTTACATCTAGCTATTTACATCCCAATACAAACATGTGATATCTGACAGACAATCAGATGCTTGTTTTATATTTTAAATTACTGGTATACCTCGACTTACATCGTTCCTGATTATACGTCGTTTGTCAAAAAAGTATATGGAAAAATAAAAATCAAGTTTGAGTCATTTTATTCGGCTTTACGTCTGTCTGCCACAAATGTTGAAGTCGTAATATCACTAGAAAAACAATTAAAGCACATAAAGTTATATTAAAATATATACATTTACAAACGCATGTACTGTATTTACAGTACATGCATTCATAAATTTAGATTACTTTTTTTCTGTACTATATTAATTAAAAACTAAAATTTATTTGTTTGTAAGCTTAAAATAGATCCTTATTAACCATATATCATTAAAAATGCATTAATAAATAAAATACAGAACCGGAAATGGTAATTTATGGTTTAGCCTAGTGACAAATAGATTCAGAGACAAGCAAATTTGACTTATGTCACCTCTCCTGGAACCAATTACCGACGTAAGGCAAGATATACCTGTACTACATTCCATCATACATTCTATTCTGTTATACATTTATGAATAAATTCTTTAACTTGAGGATGATTACTAAAAGAAATTGAAAATGTTCATTTTCTCCATTGTTGTGTTTCAAGGAGCTGGATTTTTGGTTGTGTAAGTGTTTTGGATAAGAAATATATTGACAAAAATCAAATTCAATCAATCTTCATGGACTGTATGCACATTGAAACTTGCTTTCTGAATGTCCCTTTTTTTGAAGGTATCCATATAGTATCACTATATGGATACAGTGAATATTAATGTGTGAACTTGTTCTGTTGTTGAAGTTTGAATGGCTTCAAAGATATCACTAGCCTCCAAAAGTGATAAATTACTGTTAGTAAGTTTTTCTGTGTGGTAGAACATCAACCAGCTGAAATTTATTGCCTTATATTAACAGTTTATTGTAAATCTGATCAGTCCAGAATTATGAGAGAAACTGGAACAATGTAGCCAGTTTTGCAGTGACCATGACAGCAATATGGATTTACTGCAAAATGAGAGACCAATATCAATGATATCAGCCCAAATCATTAAAGTGGATGCAGGATAGATACATTTCAGTGATGCAATAGCCAAAGAGATATGTATCTCCATTGGAAATGTCTGCTTGATCATATAAGGTTTAGGTTACCACAGAATATGTTCTACATGGATCCCTAAGTGTGCCAACAACTAGCAGAAATCTCAAAAAATGTAGTTAGCTCTGATGGATTTCAAACACAATAGAAGAGAAGGCAACAGTCTTCCTATACAAATATTTTCAGGAATAGAAAACTATGTCACCTAAAATCTAGAGACCTAAAGCAATGAGAATATAGTAGTGCCATCATTCTGACAAAGTTATGACGACATTAATTTTTAATTAGGAATGACCTTTTCTTTTAAACTTAAAACCATGTAATGACAATCACTGCAAACTACTTGAATCAGTCATATGCTACAAATCAAGAACAAGCATCCCAATAAATTTCCATTGCTCCATGACAATGCCAGATCACATGTTGCTGAGATATCAAAGGTAAATTGGAATGATTCAAAAGGGAAATATATCTCCCATCTACCATACAGCTCTGACCTGTTGCCTTATAACTTTTGGATTTTCAGACTCATGACAAAAAATCACAGACACCATTTGAGAATAGTTCTAATGATGGAAAATGGCCAACCAAAAGAATTCTCCTAGAAAAGTATTTTGTTTAGTGACACTCTGGGATAACCATCACAATGCCTATGAAGACTTCCATGTTCTGTTCTTTGTATAGGTTAGATATATCTTTGAAGTTATAAAAACACACATTATTTATTATGCTAATTTCCATGTGGTGTCCAAATATGTTTTAAGATTGTTTTATTAAATTCTTATTAATATGCTTCATAAAACTTTGCAAAATTTTTTCTTTTTATCCAACTTATTTGGCATATCTAAGATAATTTAGATAAGAGCTATAAAAAAAATCTAGTCGTCTCCATTTTGACATAAAGGACTGCTGTTTATTGAAAATGTACAAAATATTGCAAATGATTTATTCTAGAGCAAGAGCTTTATTTCAGTCTGTGTCACAGTACGTATATTTAACTGTAAAAAATTTATGCTTGTCATAACATTGAAAATTAATTTTTTAAAAAAATGAATAAAATTTTAAATTATAAATTAAATTTACCAAAAACAGAAAAAACTGAAGTTAACATATACTGACATTAAATCACAATTTTAATATTTTTTATGAGATTTACTTTGTCAGAATGGCTTAAACTGAATGTGTACAGTACATTGATTTTGTAATATTTTAGATAGAAGAATTATAACAAAAATATTAAATTATTATTATTTTACCACCCCTACCCATGGAAATATCATTGTAATTACCACCAGCGGTTATTGTAAGTTTTTCTCCAAAATTTATAATTTTGGTGTAGATATACATCTATGTCGTGTTTTTGTTAAACATTTTACGTTCTTTGTTATTGTTTTAGCACTGAAGAGGGACTGGAAAATATTAGGCCAGCCCAAAATGCATTTGATGTAGTCTTTACAAAATAAATTTAATTTGCCAATAAAATTGCTGTGAGATTTGTCTACCAAGAATAATTTTGGATTACAGAGACTAAAATCGTCATATTAAATTATTATTGTATTTTATTATTTGTAAATAACAATAACAACTGTAAATATTAGAAGTAAAAAATAAACGAAACCGCATGATGCCAAGCAAATCTTCCAATGTACTGCTATAGGTATGCACACAATACCCATCCCTAATTTTAAAGTGTTCTTTATGAAAAATTTAAATTTTTGTAATATCCGATATTATAAAATACTGTAAAATGAACAGCTGAGTCATTATTTGTGTTAAAGGTTGAGACTTCTTTCAATATTATAGTAATAAAGTAACGAAAGAGTAATGTAGTCCTTTGCAGTACAAATAGTCATCCTTGCCAGGTGACGTGTGTCCACAACATGTTTTACAAAATTACCCATACACCAAACTGAAGCAAAATTGTACAGCAAGCTGTTACTTTATTTTTGACAGCTGAAGACATTAGACCTAATGAGATCTATCAGAGGATGTACACAATATGAAGAGTAACTGAAAAAACTAAAAAAGTGTTAAAAAGTCTACACAGTTCATTGTCTATATTCATCATATTCATCCTTTCTTAAACTTTTGAACTTACAAACTTTTTGCATGCATGACTCTCCATATTGTGCATACATCCTGCTACAAAGCTTACTAATTTGTAACTGTAACAGCTTTGGCTGTCAAAAATTGAATAACAGCATATTATTTGATTTTGGTGGAATTTGATATGGGTAATACCATTTTGTAAACTACGTAGTGAACACAAATGCCACCTGGCAGGAAGGACCAAAGATACAGTGCTGCATTACTGTATATTCTTTCATTATTATTAGACACAACCTTATGTGCTATGTTATTTTTTTAACAGTGCTAATAACCTTAGTTATTGAATCTACCTTGTATACATTTTAAACAAAAGTTGAAAATGTTATTGATAGTAACATTTCATTCATTTATAAATTTCAATAAAGTCCACAAAATTAAAAGTAATTACATTTTCCTCCAAACTAATATTCAGACAACTGCAAAAACTACAAATAAGTTTATTACATAAACTAAATATCACATTTAATGATAACACAATATTGTGATCATAGATAATATACAATATATAACACTAATACGCTAAGTTATACGTAAACTAATAATTATCTTTATAATAATTTAAAGACAGTTATTAGTTTATATGTAATTAGCAATCACTTGCTCATTACAAGTAAATTGCATTCTATTATATGTTAAAAATATCTTGGACAAATAGTTAATTGATAAATTCAAGAACAAATGTTTTCAGAATGTTTTTTTTTTTTTTATAATATTAGTTTGTCTATCAAGCAAATTTCTTTTTCTTTCTTTCTTTTCAAAATGATAAAAGCCATTGATTATAATACAAGAAAATTGCTTATACAAGTTTTTTTATACTTAAGTGATTTCTGAAAAGATTATTATTATACTGTAATATTATATCTGGATAAGGAGAAGAGCTCATAACACATGTTAAACAGCAAGGAGTACACTGAGCATAAATTGTTTAATCAATGCCAAATTAATTTTGTCATAAAAGAAACCATCCTTACTCATAAATAATACATTAGAATTTTTTACATCTTACATGATCTACTTTATGATTATTCATTCATGTAACTTACTACATTAAAGATCTGTGCTGTGAACTATAAGTAAAAATTATGTAAGAAGGAATTATAACTGTGTATGAATAATTGATGGAAATATTGATGGAGGAAAAAAACTCATTTCAGCAATTATAAATGAATTTTTGAACCAAATTTAAAACATTCTGATTAGATACATATCGTTTAAAGAACAGTATAGATTTCATTAAAAAATTTTCACCTGTTTTTCGAACTTCTTCAACAGCTGCTAACATTTCCTGACATATATCTGGATTTTCATGAGCTATTTCCTCTCCTTTTAAAATAAAATTTTCTGTTGCCTTTTCAACAGCTGCAACCAATATGTGAGCTCTTTTGGATCTTCCTTTCTTCTTTTTTGATGGTCCTTTTGTATTGACGAGTGTAGTTACCTTGAGAATTTTTAAATTTTAGTGTTTAATACTGTTTTCTAAATATATTTTACATAGAAAATAAATTTTAAAAAATATTCCTAACACATACTTGTATCACTAAAGGTTCAAGTGTTTTTTCAACTGATCTAGTTCTGATTTCAAGATTTTTTGGATCCCATTTAAGGGCAACTGATGGCAGAGCTGTATCTGTACTTGTCATCTTTATATATTCACTAACATATAAATTATTTCTAGCAACCAACCTTTAAACCTGTAATAAAAAAATAGATACTGGTAACTACAATGAATACAAAACAAAAATTTTAATTTATCATAATTACTACATTATATAAATAATACAATTTAGCAAAAATTAAAAATATTTTTAAATATTTTCTTTGATGAATATTACATAGAGTAACTCAAATTCTAAATCAAATAAAATTATCATCATTCTTTATAGTTTACTTCTGTAGCAATTAAAAATTACAATTGTTTTAATAATTACAGAATGTAAATAGAATATATATTAATTTCTGTGTGTAACATCTTTGCAATTCAAACAATAATTTTGGTAGATGATCAAACAGCAATCGTCTACCAAAATTATTGTTTGGATTGCAAAGACACTACACACAGAATTTGAAGATACAGCAACCATACCTTCTACATTATATATTTATTTATTTTCTAGTACATAAATTAACACTGTAGTTAATATGATTCAAATTAAATCTCTAAAATGAAGATATTATAAATTCACTCTCTCTCTAAAATTAATGTATAAACTGTACTGCACAGTTAATTAAAATCTTACTTTTAAATAATTCTTTCAGTTATTATATTTTAAAAAAATGTTTGAAAATATTCATCTTAATCTAAACACTTGTTTTTCTAAAGAAATTACACAGTTTCATAAACATTTATGTGCATAAAATATTAAAATAAATAAAAAAATAACCAAAATAAAGATTAAAGCAAGTATTTCCATTCTTTATACCAAAATTCTTCAAGCTTACAAATTCTAAAAGATTGTTATAGAATTGAACAAATACAAACATTTGTTTTTAATCTTTATTTTGTTTTAACATTGTATGCACATGAATTTGAGTTTAATTTAACTGCTATAACAATGGCTGTATTTTAGATGTTTGAAAATTATTTTTCAATAGTTTAAGTCAGCAGTTCGCAAAGTGTGCGCTGTGGCTTCCTCACAGGGACGCCACAAAATGTTATAAATTTTTATAACATATAATGTTAGAATTTGACATAGGGTGCCTTGGGAAAATCTGCATTTAGCAAAGGTGCCGAGAATCAAAAAAGTTTGAGAACCAATGGTTTAAGATGTATCATTCTTGGAAGATTTCAAAACAAATATTTAATTCAAAGAAACTGAATAATTATAATAAAGATACACATTATTGAAAATTATGAACTAACTATTCATAAGTTTAAATTTATAAATCATTTACTTATTATTTATTTATTCATTCTCTTTAATGCTTTTGTAACAAGACTTATTCCATTATCTAAAATATTTTAATTCTTAAACATGGTCTCATCTTTTCAAAATGATGATTTAAAATTACAAACATTTTAAAGATTATTACGTTTAAACTTTGATCTAAAAAATAAACCCAATTATTAATTTAGGCATAATAAATTTATTAATTAAATAATTTTCTTCTTTAGCTGACAAAATATATTTATCATAAACAGGATTTTATCACATTTTTTAAAAGACCAATAAACTGAATATTGAACTAGAATGGCAAGGTAAATGTTTCCAACCATAAAGAATTCATATAAATAAAGTTAATCATACTATTAATGAAAATGTTCATATGTCAATTGAATTTAGTTTTTTACTGCATCTACAATATGTAGAAAATTTTAAATATATTAAAAACTTTACAAACTGAAAACAGTTATCTAAATGATGACCACCTCCACACAAACTAAATACACTCCCACCTTTCTTTACAAGCTTTGATGAACTCATATATAAGCATTTGCTTTGTCAGATTGGTACAATTATAAATTCACAATTTGTAAAATATTATAATCCAGAAAATCTTGTAAAAGTTTAAATATGTTTGGAACCAAATATATTAAAATCTTAAGTTACTTTTTAATTAAATAGTTAATATTCTTAGATTCCAACCTTACACAATAACTATCACAAATTAATGTATGAAAAAATCTAATATTTGACATTTATCTATATAATATATATCAATTAACCTGATATTTTTAAATTTAAAAATAATATTGCAATTCATGACAACTACAGTATTCTCCCACACAACAATCTCTATTAATAATGAACAGACAGATATATATTAATTTACAAAGAGGATAATATCAATTAACTTCATTAAAGCAAATTAAAAACATTAATAAATTGAAAAAATTAATCATTTTTTATTTATTTTCAATTAAGAATCAATTTTAATATTTCTAAACTGCATCTAATAAAAACTTTATATATTAATATCTATATTTAATTACATTTTCTAAACCAGCTCTAAAATAATCCTCATTTATATTAATATATCATAAATAATAGTTATAAGTTGTATAACAACATTCTATATTTTGAGAGTAAAAACAAAAATTTTATTAGACATTTAAATCAAATTAGTGCATAAAATATGTCAATAAGACCAAACCAAAATCTGTCCCGAATTCCACAAAAAAAAAGAAAAGAAAAAAAATACAAGTAAAAAACAGGTAGTTTAAATTAATGAATATCTTATCCAGTTAAAATATTCCATCACGACAATTTAAGTACCTCATTCAAATCGTTTGTTCCACTCCAGCACATTTCCTGTAAACAGACATCACAGCAGACTTTCTTAGAGATTCATAATGATATACACTCTCAAGCACACACAAACACGCTACCATATCGTGCAATGCCTTGTGACTAGACAATGGAAGAGGAAATACAGATGACTCATACAATCGACTACAACGTCAGAAACGTTAATAGCTTGGTTGATTTGGTCAAAGAGCGAAACGTTATTTTATTTTGATAGACTATTTCCTGATAAATCTTACACAAAATCTAAGGTGTGCGACATATTAACGATTTACGCAGAAAAAATTCTTGTATTATTTAGTAATTTAATTTTAAAATCAAAATTTAAATGTTTTTTAAAACGATATTCTTATATCTAAAATATAACACACAGTTTTTAAGAAAGTGATCAATAAGTAGCATAAAAATACAAGAATCCGTTTACGAATCCAAATCGAAACATTCATTGATTGTTTGTTATATAAGCGTTACAATTACGAAGAAACACGATAAAAAAAATTTATTTTGCCAACGTGTAAAAAACTGATTGATTGTCGATGACGTTACTGATGAAAATTATCAAATAACAGGTAGAAAATGAATAAGCTCCAAGCACAGCAGCAACCTGAGAAGTCGATTTTTATTATGCGAGCCAAAACAAATGTAAAACAAAACAAAAAGTCGTTGCATCGTAACAGTCCCGATTTTTAAGTAATAACAAACCTGTACTAAATTTTACGAACTAATGTTACATTATTAATCACACGAATGCTTCCATAATTTAATGTAGTTTAAAAATAATAACACATGCTTATGTACTGTACGTTATATTCTGCTAACATTTTGTTTTATTCGACGTTAACGAATGCTAAATTTAAGTACAAAATTTGCACGGAATATGTGAAATATTACCTTCTATTTACATTCTAACTTCCGTTTCTGATAAACCAGAGTAACGAATTTTCTACATTATAAACCGTTCGTAGTAATCAGATACTATTAAGCTATACCAACGAATCGAAACGTGTTTCTAGTTAAAGCGAGAAAAAACTCAGAAGTATTTTAGATTTTTACTTATCATTTATATCTTAGAATAATCTTTGATATTTACACAGCTTACATTAATCTGTTAATTAAATTAAGGCAGTAATTAACTAATCGATAATTTTAACATATTACTGTAATTAATTTATTCCTATTTACGGATTCATAAGAAATGAAACGTATTCAAAAGCAGTATATTGCATTTATATATATATATATATGTTTGATGGTTCAGTTTTAAATAAACTCTTGAATATCAGAATTTAACTTGTGATCAATTTGTAATCTAGAGCATATTTCGTTCTAGAAAAAAAAATTTAACACAATTTTTCATCGCTTGTAGCTTTTAAATCGTATGAAAGAGGGAGAGGACAAAAACACTAATCAGATAACGTATGGTCGATGTAGGCGGGTTCTCCAAGCCACAGGCGAGTCACATGAATCAATACATCCAATAGTAGCACATACTGCATTTATTTTTTCATATTTAAGTTTAAAATTAGAAAGTTTTGAAGTACTTTTTGAATAAGAAAAATGCAATATTAAACTGTATAATATGCAAGAAATGATTCACAATTTTATTCCAAAATAATGAGTTTAAATTCGCATCGTTATTAAACTTAAATAATTAATAAGAATTTGATTATCGAAAACGTTAAACATATTAAATAAATGTTAAGCATGCGAGATTTTTAAAATTTGTAAGTAAAATAAACCGAGGGAAACTTGCAGATACTTATACAACGTGACAAAAGTGAGAAATGGAGAAACGATGTACTATTTCCCCGATGTAATGGAGTTGAACTACTTAAGATGAAACGTTATCCTCTTGCTGATACTCTCAAAACATTTCTTATCACTTTCGCATGATTCCATCATCGAATAATGTTTGGTTTCGAATATTAAATATTCGAAGTGAACTTTATAAAATATGATTTCTAGGTGTGATCATAAAGACATATTTCAGAGAAGCCATATAAAACACCCTGTCATTTTTTCTTCCCCTCTCTCGAAATTCCACGAATAATGATGGATTTAAATGGAAACATCTCACTTATTCTTCTTATTGTGGATTTCCAAATTTAAGAATTATTCCATTACACGATTTATATAAGAAATTCATATCAACTTCTCACATCGATTTATTTACGGAATGAATGTCGGCATACTTGCCAGAAAAATGTACCTGGTTCGATATAAAATACCACACTCAGCGATAAATTCTACTCGTTTATCACAATCTTTACGATAATATATAGTTGAAATATGACGAGTTAACAAACTTTAATTTTTATATAAGAAAACCTTTTATGAAATTAATCCACGTTTAAGTATTAAAATTGGTTTTATATAATAGTAACTAAAGTAATTGGTTTTTGTTTTGTAATATTGATATCAATAGTTGCAAAAATAATCACTGGACA